TACCAGAAAATACAAAATGACTGAGTTCTCCCATTGGGAATAAGGTAACTCAGCTTAACCAAGAGAGATGGTCCTGGATCTCACCCGAAGGAAAACTCCAAAATCTCTAGAGTAGCAAGCTGGAAACAGAGACATGACCGAGACTGCCTGCTCCTCTCATCTTCCCAGTCTTTTCCTTCAGCAGCCTAAAGTGGGGTTGGCCTCTTGCATCTTACCTCTTGAAGATGGAGGACAACAACACTGGAAGAAAACATGAAGCTTGACCAATACTAATCCCTGAAGAGTCCTGAAGGGGAAAGTCCCAAAGAGGGACTCTGGTTTGAAAAGTCCCCAAAGAGGGACTGTCTGAGAACCAATGCTTTCTTGCCTCTCATCAACTCCCGAAGGCATTCTTCTCTACCAGTCAAGAGAGAGTCCCATGCCAGTGGCCTTGGGACAAGTGTTACACCCACTAGTGCTGGTTTTGATTGTGGTGGTGGTCACCAAAGATTAAAGGGTGGGCTCCTACAAGTAACAACCCTGGAATCTGACTACCAAAATCTACTACTACACACCTACATGGCAAACTGGGAGGCCCATTGTGAATGCCATGAATCTCCCTGCTCCTTGTACCTTGAAATAGTCAACAGAAAGTATTTCTCAAGGTCAAAGGAAAAGGAAATAAGGAAACTTGAAATCTGTACATCTGCATGTAGATTTTGTCATTTCCCAGTGCTTCATCAACTTCCTCCTCCTATAAGGAATTCTGGGGGCCTCCTCTACTCCCCATAGTGGTAAAGATATTGTACAAATACCTACTTTAAAAAGACAGAAAATTATAATTAGAGAGGGGAATGTTACAGTTCAGAATTATGGAGACCATTGTGGGTGATGGTGGGAACTAAGGTATGACCATCTCTCTGTCTGGCTAAGATGGAAAGATGAGGTAATTGAGGAACAGAATAGGCAGGGTTTTGAGAGGACATCAACACCTATGTCAAAATATAAGGACAGAGGTTGGGGTGCAACCAATAATGATCCAGACACTTGAGAAAGAAAGGAAAGTGACCTGGAGGCTGATGACCCCAGCAATCAAGCTTTGGATGGGGTAATAGATAGATGGAATGGATCTAAAAGGAAGACTGGTTACTGAATGATAGAAGCAAAAGATCTGCTAGTAGCAGTGAAGAGCAAGGAGAATGCCTTCTTCTCCTGGCCCAATATGTTAGGTAGCACAGGAGAAGATGCAACCAGCATTGGAAAGAGTAGCTAACAATCAGTCTTCCAGAAAAAGGCAGGTTTCTGTGAGGCCCAGATGGAAAGAGTGAAATAAGAAATCTAGAAGAAAAGGAAAATCATTAATCAGTAGAGGTTTGAGGCCCACTGCAAAGCAGGGCAAAAGAGGAAAGGTACTGAGGAGAGCTAGGACAAAGCTAAATGGAGATGAGAATATGGGAACATTATTTTTCTTCTCAGGGGGCAACAATTCTGAATTATGAGGATCAGGGAAATAGATGCAAATTTGCTAACTATTATGCATGGAGAAGTACCACTAATTTGGGGCTTCTGCCCTCTAAGGTCCTATGATTATGAAAAATTGGCTGTATTCTAGCTCCAAACACTGAGGACATAAAGGTGGACAAGATAGGAGTGTTCCAACCAGAGATCTAGCCACCGAGAAACTTCACTAAATTCAAGCATGCCAACAGCTCCACAGCTATGTTCTAGAACAATAAGATATGATGAGATACACCTAGAGGATCTCACACATGGAGCATCCATCACACCCAGAAGCTATCCATCCACACATGGAATATGAACTTCAATCAACAAGCATTTATTAAGCCCATACTATA